AACACTTACACTGTCTGGACGTCGGTGGCCAGCCCGGCCAAGCCTATGTACAGCCTGTCGCCCATGGGAAAGATCTTCTGGAAGTCTGTGGTCACCATCTGGGCCTGGATCCCGAAACGCCTGTCCGCGGCGATGGCCACACAGTTCTTTCCCTTCATGGCCATGACGGCCCCTCCGTTATAGGACATAATAGACTGGAGAAAGACAAATCAAGAGGCTTAGTTCATGGAGCTAAGTGTTGCCATAACCTTCAGCCCTGTCTCCGGAGGTTCCCGGACGCCCGGAGCTCCAGCCCTGAGATGGGCCCGGTGGGGCACCCAGGAACCGCACTCATCCGCACGGTCCTGCTATGCGCATTCTACCGACGACCAGGCCCTCTCTGTCCCGGATGCAAGCCTTTCCCAATCACGCTTTCCATTCCCACCCCAGTCTCCTTCCCTTTGCTCCCCAATCTCACCATGATTGCGCTCTAGTAGGACTCCGATCGCCACTGCGATTCTTGTAAACCGGCTCTGGGTTTCTCAGGGCCAACGCTCTCGCTGAGCCTCCCCATTGGCTGGTGGGCCGACTCTGCCTGACAATCCAGTTTTCTATTGGATAAACAGCCCGTCAGTCACTAATACGCATAGTTTGGTTGAGACACCAAAACGGAGGTCTGGAAAGCGGAAAGTGAAAAGTCACTGTGAGTGCGGAAGAGCCTGCGGTCCGGGGCATGCCGGGATCTTGGCGGACCTGGACTCCCGCTCCCACCCCCGCCACCCCGGAGTGGGGCGGAGCTGGCAACACGTGGGCTGGGAACACGGCCTTGTGAAGCTTCGGCTGTACCCAGAGGTTATCCCCGGGCTTGCTGTGGCACTGTAGGAGATGGGCATTTTACTCTAGCTAGCTGACTCCATGTATTCATTCACAAATCCCTACAGCTGTTGTGTCCCCGGGCACTTCACGGAGCTGCGAATACCCACTGGCGCCGAGTTTACTGAGGGCGCTCATTCATTGCAGAATGGGAAGAGGACCGAGGTTTCGTGCTGCGAGGGTTCAACTCCAGAGGGGGATTTTGTTTTGTTGTTGTTGGGTCTTTTTTGGGGGGTGGGGACGCTACAGGTTGTTCAGCTTTTGGAGTCCCTCACCCCCATCACTGCAGGTCTCTTCACTTTACAAAGGAACGTTCCGTGTCCTTCCACATCTAAGTCACTAACCGAGGATAGCCTGGGCCAACCGCACCGGGGCAACCCGTGTGGGACGTGCGTGTCCTTCGCCTTCTCCTCCCGAGCCCAACCCGCCTGGTTCTTCGGCCACGACTCTATGTTCTTCGGGATCTCATTTCTTACGCTGGAAAGGCTGCAGTGACTGCTTACGTTAATGCCGCTCTTGCGCCATACCGCGGTCGCTCCTATTGACTCGACTCTCTGCCTCACTAACAACTGTCACCGTCTCTGTGGCGCAATCGGTTAGCGCGTTCGGCTGTTAACCGAAAGGTTGGTGGTTCGAGCCCACCCAGGGACGGCTGAGTTTTTGAGTGTAGCTTTGTTTTTTAAATCGCAAATGCTCAAAAGCCAAATCCTGTACCGAGAGTCATTGTATTTAGAAATTCGTTGTGGTCAATGACAGGATTTCCTACTAGCGTCTCGACACTGCCACTCACATTCTTTCCCCCAATCTGGATCACCGGAAAGCAAAACACAGGCTTCTGTCTCGCTGCCATGTTTCACAATGCTTTTTTCCTAGGCTTGAGAATGAATTTGCTGTGGAGGTTGGACAGCTTTCCATTGTCTGTGTTAGTGGCGATATAAACTTGAAATAGGACATCTGTTCCGGAAGAAAGAGTCAGGAAAGAAACCTCGGGCACAAAGTGAGGGATAAAGGTGAAAGAACGGAATACAAGGAGGGGACCTAAGCGAACCTAAGTAGGGGAGTAGATAAGATTCCCCCTAAAGAGAAAAAGAGAGACACCGAGCTAGAAAGATGAGGAAATAGATGTAGAGATGGACAAAGGGTATTGTTTGCAGGAGGGAGAGGTGCGAAGGACACAGACGTAATGCTGCACAGGAAAGCAGTGGCCATTGTCACCATTTTACAAGGGATCTCCTCCTTGCAGATCTTCTGTATGCACTGGAAACAGTCTTTGCCTTGATGTCCCAGATTCCTGCCCGTTGGGACATATGTCTGATAGTGACCCTCCCCATGAGTAGCTATCAGCTAGAGGGCCGGTAGGATACAGACAGCATGGAGGGAAGTAAGGGTTCTTCTTGCTTGCAGAGATGTGCTGGCGGAGGTGGGCAGGAAGCCGCTGCCTTCGTTGAGGAGAAAGTGCAGGGGACTCTCAATGAATTCTCTAGACACTTGGCTCAAAGGAAGTCTCTTCTGGACTCTCCCGTGTTTGCACACCCGTATGCACAGCCTAAAGGACACCTGGCGCTTCAAAAGGAGAAAGGAGAAGGGTCTTTTCAGGCTCTACTCAGTGATCCTAATCTATGTTCTGACCTAGCCTACCTACTCTGCCTAAAGCAATATTTGACATTGGCACGTGCCAGGGGCTTCGAGATGCCTACTAGAATTAAGACTGAAAGACTAGAGAACTTCGGATGTGGGAAGGGTTATTCTCCTGATAAACCAGAGAAGCTTAACAATGTCCTAGCATCGATGGTTTACTGGTGTTTTAGTGGGCTGTGGGTCTTGGGCATGATCCTCCTCTCTAGCGGTTTACACGGAACTGGAACCTAACAGCTGTTTGAGGAGTAACTGGATGCCCATTTAATAAGCAAGGTAGCCAGGGGCAGCCAGACTTCCCGGGTGCCGGTGTTTGATGGAACCGAGATTTACAACACCCCTTCAGGTTTCTTTTGTTCGGGAACTTCTAGAGAAAGAATGGCAGAGACGGGGTCCCTGTTGCGGTACCCTTCGTGCTGAGCACTTGGGGTCGTTACAGCAGAGTCCAAGATGCGGTGACCTACTGGTCTTGATGACAGTGGGCGTGTCTAATTCGAGCCCCCTTTCCACTCGAGCCTATGAGCTCCTGATACCCGATAAAGGGACTGGGAAGGTAGCAGGTGACCGATTATCCCGGGGCCTCTCCCACTCGCCCTGGGATCACCCTGTGTAGGCGGAAATTTCTCCCGCCCTTCCTCTGAACCCTCATTCAGCTAGGGCTGAGGGCTGAAACTGGTGGGGTCACAGGGCTCCTCGTAAGCCAGCGTGCAAAAAGCACACTGTCCGGAGGCCCCCAACTTCGGAGCTGCTTTAGGCGTGGGACAAGGAAAGGAGGCGGGCGCTCCGAAGCTCAACGAAGATTCGTTCCCTACTCGAGCCAATCCACAGTCCTGGCGCTTAAAGGCATTTGAGGCCGGATAATAGAGCCCTTTGGAGGGAAAGTCAAGTGAATACTCCCAATAAATCAGAAGGAACGAATAAGCGAAATCGAGCGACCTAATGAGGCCCAAGGTTCTCGTGGTAACGCAGAATCGATTCGCTTCCTCGGCGCCGTCTCTTTCAGCTCTCCTTCCTCTCCCGCCTGGGGCCGGGGCCGCTGGGGACCCGAGAGCAAGCGCTGGGTGGAGCCGAGAGTGACCATCGGAGTCGGCTGGCACCGGCCGCCTTCACGCTCGCTGGCTCCCCCGCGGCAGGGAGGGAGGCGCACCGGCGGCGAAAAGGCGCGCGTCCTCTCTCGACTCCTCGCTTCCTACTGCGCCCGGCCCTCTCGAATTCGGCTAGTTATTGTGTCTCTGGCCCAGCGCCCGAGTTCGTGTCTCGGGCTGCTCTCCCCGCCTCGGATTGCGTTCCATTCTTCTCCGCCCGAGCACGCCGAGCGCGCCAGCCTCGTCCACAGCCAAGCCCCCCGGCCACCGTGCGCTCCCTGCGAGGTGCTCCGCCGTTTCGGGGGAGAGGGGAACGGACACGCTACGGGTCTCTCTCACACGCACATACACACTTAGGAATCTCAAGGGAATGTCAGCTGGAGTGAGTAAACCTCGCTCGGACGCGTGGCCGCCGGCGCCGTGTCCCCAGCCTAAACGCCCTTCGGTGGCGGCGAGGCATCGGGTACTGCAAAACACATTTCCGCCCAGTCTGCATCTCAACCATTTTTCAAGCTCCCCAGCTAGAGTAGGGGTCGCAGGGTCGGTGGGAGAGGGGGGGACCCACTTATTTTAGGAAGAGGAGGTATCATGACTGGAGGTAACACAACAGGATCTTTCCTCCGGGTTCAAGGGATCTGTTTGGATAAAAGGGGTCTCGGGTTTGGGGGAAGCCCAGAGCACGGAGAACACGGTGAAGAGCAGCTAAGCTAGCCTCTCCCCTCCTCTTTCCCTCTCTGCAAACATCCTGAAGGAATGAGGTCACGTGGGTGAGTAGTGGGCGGGACCTACTCTTGTCTGTAGGAAAAAAGCCATTTTGTCGCCCCCCCTCCACGGCCCCTCCCCTCCCCTCTCGTCCCCTCCCCTCCCCACTCTCCCTCCCACCCCAAGCTGCTCTTACAAACTCC